AAGATTCGAGGAATTCTAGTTTATAAATATATATACTTTCTTCATCAATGGATCTTTGGCATCGTAATCTTGCAGTCTATATTTATACACGGGAGACCAATATTGATCACATTTATATTATATTACGTCTTAAAAGAACAGGAAAATACTGTTTATTGTATTTTATAAAAGACAATGAAGGAAAGAAAGGATCAAAGAGATAGAGAGAGAAAAAAAAACGAAGGAATGAACGAAGAACACATGCAGAATACAAATAAATAAATAAATAAAAAAAAAAAAAATACAAATAAAGAACTAAAGAGTAAAGAATGAGAAAAAAAAATGAAATAGAAATCTATTATATACATTACAATTTAAAAAAAAGAAAAAACATTCTTAAGTCCAAATGTTTTAAAAAAAAAGGTCTATAGTACTTTCACAAAGCGCACGGTCTTAAATTAATTGTGTAACAAGTATAAATTGGTGAATTTGCATATCAGTGTACAAGTCAACTTACTCGTTTTACGTTTTACGTACCTTTATTCACGAGCGTTTTTTACGAGCGTGCTATAACGCGTCACGGAGGAATCATCGTGTCTGTTCTGTAACGTGTCCCACAGTGGGGTGGTTGCTACCCAAGTGACTTCAGCTGCTAAACCAATTTACGATCAGACGGCCGTACCCACGAATTGTATGCAGTTAACCCAATTGAAGGCGGTTCGAGTTCCAATGAAATCTTCGCCGTGAGTTTATTCGTCGTCCTCCTCCTGAAAAAACACTCCTCTTCCTTCCTGTCTTTATACCTGAAAATTATCGGATTGTTGGATATAAGAAGGACCGTCAGCGAGAGTCAACTTATGCAAAAATCTATCAACCCTCGATGTGACGAAAAATTAATTGAACACAGAATTTTATACACGGATCTCAGAATTTTATAATTTGAAATTTAGAACAACTCTTACGTTGTACAGTTGTTAAAAATTGTTGCAGTGTCATAGTTCCAGTCTAGATTTGTCTACTCACTATACTATACTATTAATAAAGCTTCTCTTGTTTTTTTTTTTAATTAAATCTTCGAACGAGATGTACTCTGAGGATTGGTGGTAGCTTTCTGTACAATTTGGCCTATTTAAAAATAAATTAATATTTCTTATTTTGTACACTTCTGGTGTAAAATTTACAAATGTTTGCAAGCTATTGAAAAAAAAAGAAAAAAAAATTGAAATTTTTCGCGTTTGCGAGTCGCGAAATTTCGAGGTGAGGAAACTTTCTCCTGTCCAAGAGCGAGGCAATTGTCACCTGCTGAGTGTTCCTTGAAATTGTTACAGCGAAGATTAGGTCTTGGATTGTTTATTTTAGCCACCAAAGTCTAGGACGTAAAATATTAGGGTGGATTATGTTTGTGTGCGAGAGACGAACGTTTCGAGGATGCATGTCGCCAGGGAATTAGAGAGAATCGAGACGCTCGAGAGTGAAGATCTAGAGAGAGAATCGAGTGAAGACTTACATAGAGAGTAGCGAGTTGCAAAAATTTAAATAATTTTTCTCATCGCCATATTGAAACTTTCTTTTATCAAATTGAAATTGTTAATTTCGTGTAATTCTTCCACAAATGTAATTTCAACGAATGCAATAGCATATTCTATAAGATTTCAATATTTTTGAACACTTTCAAACACTTCCGTTCGATCGAAAACTGTTTGCCAGGTATAGGTAGTGAAGCGAGATTCTTCGCGATATTAAAGAATTTCGTATTTCTTCTCAATAGTTATATCAGACACATGTATAATACTACACATACAATATTTAATTGGAAAAGGAGCCAAGTGTGTCTCGTGGCTTTTCTTCTAACTTTCTTCCAACGAAACAATTAACGTTCGTTTAACGATTCGACGGTCTGAAGATTGGCCGATTGGCGTCACACGACGAAACGAAAGCAAGTTTTTCGCAGACAGCACGGAACGATGAAACCTTAGCTCGATCGATCGTGTCGCGGCAGAGAAACACAGGGTAATTTATTCGGTCGTTGGCGTCGTCGATAATCAATTTTAACCCTCAACCGGTGGGGTGAAATGCTTGTTACATAACTAGCCGGCTGAAGTTAATTTGCCCTCCATTACAAAGCACGTTGGAATATGCCCGATTTATCTGATTAAATACGCAACTGCAGCTTGACGCGGATTAAGTTGTTATAAAAGCGTCGGCTGGTGAAGCTCGATGAGCTGAAAGTATTCGGCAAATCGTGAATTAATTTTATCGCTGTTGTTCGTGAATCGTGCTCGAATGATTCGCGTTATTTATTTTTCGAGCGAAAAGGAATTCGAACGATGAGACGATTAGATTAATTTTTGATACATATAGCGGAACAGGGTCAATGTCGAAGAGATTGACTTCTTATTTTGGACAAGTAACGATGGTTGTTGAATTTATGAAATATGCATAAAGTGTGGTATAACCAGTATAACTAATAAATATAAATATACAAGTGATATAAATAATGAAATGAAACAATGAGACCAAGGATTGCTGGCTGTAAACAAGTGTCTAAAGATCGTAACTTTGGAAAAAATTGTAATTTGCGGTTAAGTTCGAGCGATGCAATAGTTTCTTAAAACTTCAGAGACGGAAACAGATTCACCGATTTTATCAGCACGACAATTAAATTACATTAACACGCCCATAATCGCAACAAGATTTCTTCGTCGTGATTATTCGATCCTCCAATATTTCCAAGAGCTTCCGTGTAAAATTTCAAACAGTTTAACCACGTTTAACTGAAGTGAAATAACAAGCCGAGAACAAAAAAAAAAAAAACATCTTAACACATTCAAGACTGATGAGAACTGCAGAGTTTTCGCGTTTAAAAAAGTCTCTCTCTATCGTAGCATTAATTTCGAAGCGATATTAAAACCATAACAATGAATTAAAAGTGAACTCGCGTAATGACACGTCGATACGAAAAAAAGAAAAAAACGTGTAGAAAAAGGAAAGTTTATCTCCTCTGCCGTGAGGTTGAAAAGTGAATGATAAGAATATCGATGGCTTTGATACCAGCCGATTATCGAGGTTTAATTAACCACGTTGCGCTGGCAACTGATTGCGGACCATAACGAGTGACCAAACCATCGCTTTCTTTTCGAACTCGTCGGCACGATATCTACTGGATAGAAATTATTGAGAAGTAATAAATTTATTATTTGTTTCGCCGATTTTTGGTTTACTTAAATATACTTGAAACTGAGAAAAATATTGCAATTTTGGAACAAAAAAAATTCTCGACGTGGGTCGCGTTAAAAGAGGTTAAATCTGGCCAGCAGCTCGGACTTCCCCTTCTTATAATTTGCTGATAATTATAACGAACGTATACATTTAGTGTTGCATGATATAGTATAATATTTATAGTATAATATTTGAATAAGACTAGAATGAAAGCTATAACAACGACGTAAGAAGAACAAAAGTATTGTCTGAAGAAGGAATTTCTGAAGACAGTCCTGAGTCAATTGACACTCATTGGAACAATTCATATAAACTAGACTTCTTATCGCTTCTTACAAAAGTTTAAAAAATGGCGGAGTTATATTGAAACCGTGTGTGAAACTATCGTTAACTCTTGTACATTATACTCTATGCAAACCGGCAATGCATGTCGACGATAGCTTCAAATTATATATATATATATATATATATATATATATATATATATATATATATATATAGAATCACATGTTGGAAAGATACAGTTAACAAAATCTCGTGTCGAATACCTACATTTGAATGATTATTTCCAATGTTGTGTCATTTTGTTTGATGCGACAATGCTTCGTAAATAAATTGCTAAAGGGTTAACCACGTTGACCTGGCAACTGATTGCGGACCATAACGAGTGACCAAACCCAAGTATACAATAATTCGTTTTCTTTTCGAACTCATCGGTATCGCTGGACAGAAATTATCGAGAAGTAATAAATTTATTACTTGTTTTGCCTATTATTTGTTTTACTTAAATATACTTGACACCGAGGAAATATTGCAATTTTGGTACAGAAAATTCTCGACGTCGTTCCAGCGCCAATAGGTTAAGGCCAATATTCGAAACTCTGTCGCGAAAGTGGTTCTTCTCGTGTTCTCGGGGGTCAATTCGAACGTTGGACAGCGTGCGAGGGACAGAATTGGTTGGTTGATCCGGCTCGTTCCGGCGAGGAGAAACGTTGTAATGATCTTTTCTTCTGTACGGGCTCTCTGCAACGGGCGGAGAAAGGATCGAAAGGGAGTGAGAAGGGAGGGGAACAGTACGGCGGTTCTCGTTTCGCCGAGATTTACGGAGAAGCCTGTTGTATTTATTAAAAGTTTTGTACCCGGGCCGGTTACCAGAGCCGGTGCTCCTCGTGAAAACTCTAGAACGTTTGAAACGATATTGTAAAGAAACGGAAGTTAAGTATCGCTAATGAAAGAAACGACAGGGCTGACGTCGTCGGGGTTTGGAACTCCGGGCCTCTGCTAACCAGCAGGACTATTGAACCGGTCGACAGGATTTATTGTAAATTTGCTTTTACACGGTTTTGATCGCGAGGAGTTTCCGTCGGGTATTCGATCGTTAGTGAAAATATGGCAACTCGTTCCTGTGGTTTGTGTACATGAAATGTGTATCTAATAATACGCGAAATGCCGGCGGTCATTATTCATTCGACAATTTTACGTTGATTTAAGCTCATGAATATACGATGTGCGATTCGTACGAAAGATGTGAAACCGGTTGTTAAATATTCAAACTTCAAAATATGGCCGTTTAGAATTTAGTCGAATTCTTTTTTTTTTTATAGCTGTTATATTGTTACACAGTGGGTGTAATCAAGCCACTATTTAGATTGACAAGTATACTCTTATTATGGAAAATTAAAGAAAACCCGATTCCTGGTTTCTTGCAATCGTAGCTTGATCAAAACTTACGCAAAAAAAAAAAAAAAAAAAAAAAAAAAGAGAAAGGTACTAAAACATCTCCTTTCCTTCTTCTGTTACAGTACTACGAAATGTCTTACGGCCTAAACGTGGAGATGCACAAGCAGGTAAGCTCGAAGAATACAATTTCTGTCGATTAGACTTTATCACTAGTGTACATGCTCCCCGAGTGGCGAGTGGGTGGGAAGCTCTGTATTTCCGACGAAAGGTAGCCAAAGACGGTATATACACGGAGAGAAAAGTTGCACCCCGGCCATCCTCTTTTCAACGAAGTTTTCCGGCCAAGGGAGAGAAAGAGAGAGAGAGAGAGTGAGGGAGAGTGAAGGAGAGGGTGAGTGAGAAACGTTAAGCCGGCAGCCAGCCGCTTAAAGAATGTCGGCCTGATTTCTATCGCGCTCACCGCCGCGGCAACCAGGGGGTGGAGGGGGGGGAAGGTAGGGGGTAGGAGTTTAAGGATCAAAAGATTTCTCGTTAATTAAGTTGGGAATATGTCGGCCGATGCCGACGGTGTCTAACGGCCGCTCGGTAGTCACCGGCCGCAAAAACGAAAAGGGGGGTTGACGCCGCATCTGGCCCGGGAAATCGTGTAATTTCGGCTAATTAGGGGAAACACTGGGCCACATCCCCCTTCTGTCAGCAATTTTCTTAAAAGCGACTGCCGACCCCTCGTTTCATACGAACTACCTCTAGACTTCTCTCTCTCTCTCTCTCTCTCTCTCTCTCTCTCTCTCTCTCTCTCTCTCTCTCTCTTCCTCTACGCAGATGGGTGGGGACAGGGAAGAGAGTTCTAAACTCCGAAACAACCCTCCCTGACACGACGAGCTGATATTCATTAGCATTAGCGGCCGATCATTTCTCACCCTTGTACCCAGGGGCGTTGCTTAATGGGGTGCAAGCTTGGGGACAAGAGGGGCAGGGATGGCGGAGCGTCGTCGAATAGGCCGGTCCACCATTAAATCGGCGCGAAATTGCGTCCGGTGGCTCAAGTGGTAAACTAGTTAGCTTAGGATGCTTTATGGCCGCGTTGTTATTGCCGTGTACGATTTGCGCTTCGAATTGATACGTAACCCTTAAAACGTGTACCGGTTAATCGACTCGTTCCGACCGTCGGTGTTTAACCGTCTGCCGCTCGATCCGTGCCGGTAGATCCGATCTTGTTAGCGTTGCACCGGAGGAATCTGTTCCGAATCTATCCTCCACTGTTTGAACAGGCTTGATTCCACCGTGATGACGTACGGGGAACTGATCGGGTAGCTGATCAGCGATAGATTGTTAAAAAGTGATTTGTGCGCCTTGGCACAAACGATACTTTTCTTGTCGGAACACTCTTTTCGACCAAACGAAACTGTTTTGTTTCTGACTTGATGGTCTCAATGATAATAGTGTCATTCGCTGGGCACAAGTTATTTTTTTTATGGGAAGTAACTCGCATTGTGATTGGCTTCTAAGTATGCCTCGTATGTACGAAGTATCTTACAAGTTTCTGTATTTTCGGAATTATTTTCAATTTTCAATTTTATATTTTATATTTTAAAATTTTATTAAATTTTATATTTTAATTATTGGACTATAGATGTTTATGTGTATTTGGAGGAGTTCAAATCGACAACAAGCGAATTTTCGAATTGTCTGATTCAGAAATTTTTAATTGAACTCGGTTCTTGTTATTAACCCCCGGAGAATATGAAACTTAAATACAAAATACAATATCATCTATGATTAACGTAATAATTATGACGTTTGATAAGTAGATACTTGGTAAATAAATTGGACCAATGATCTGCATAATCATAATGCAGCAGAGCTTTACATAGACTTCGTTCGTTTCGAATCAAGTTTCAATCAACGCTCGATAACTCTTGCTATATAGCGTTGAATCCACTTGTTTGAATCTGAGCTCGTGTCAAAAATGAACGTGCGAAAAAATTACTGGCAGACGTTGAGAATCCAATTGTACGAACTATTTGTCCCACGACGAGTTTGTATAAACGAAGCTCCGGCTGTAATCGAGTGTGTTCGTGAAATTAAATTATTACATATCCACGAACGTGAATTGCATTCGCGAGTCGCCACGTACCAGGTGAAACAGGAAAAATCACGGCGGTCGAACGACATTAACGCGATAAAAGTCGCGCGATCGTGAAGTTAACGTGCTCCGACTCGAATTCTCTCTCTCTCTCTCCCTCTCTCCAATCCCCAACGTCTGTTTTAACCTTCGTTCGAACGCGCGGAAACGATATACTGTTTTGTGCCGGGGGAAATGAGAATAAGTGGTTACTCGATACGCTCGTATAATTGCTAATGGACGCATAGGAGGGTAATAAAAGTAAGAGTAGGAAACGGAAAATCGCTGGTCGCCAGGAAATCAATCCCCCTCGGGCGTACCGGCGACGACAAATTGCAGAGAACGCTGGTGTAACACGGTCAGGACCGGCCTCTCCGTGCCTTCTAACGCTAATTAGAGGAGAAATGAAAAGTTATTGGTTCTTGGCGATCGGTTAATTAGTCGCGATAATCGTTCCGCCCCAGCCGGTGTTTACGCCGATTTCTTTTTTTTTTTTTCTTTTTTTCTTTTCACCAAATTCACTTTTTTTCTTTCTTTTTTTTTCTTTTCCTTTTTTATTAACCGAGAACCGTGTTTAAGCGAACAGAGCAGCAACTCGTGGAATTTATCGAACGTTGTTCGATCAGTTTATCGTTTATTGTACCGTGAGGGTTGATTTTTATGGTTTTACGGCGTTTACGCGATACCGGCGAAATTGGAGCCGGACGAAAATTGATTCAGACTTTGCCGATTAAACCGATAATCGCGATTATTCGTTCGGTTCTAGCCGATTGAGTACCGATTACACAGGTAATCACTCATGGACGATTCCGTTTTCTTGCGCGTTCTTGCCGTTTCTTCTTTGTTCCGTTCGATCGTTTTTATCGTCTTTTTTTTTTTTTTTGTATTGGTCGAAGGGATCCTCGAGCTTGAGAGAAATTGATACGATTTACAGCTAGTTAATAAAATTCGAGTTGGCACCTTAAGTTGTGTCTATTCAAAAATTAGCCAAACCGCATCGATTAACCACCTGCGCTGGCAACTGGTTCGCGGACCATAACGAGTGACCGAACCGTCGCTTTCTATTTCTTTTGAATTCATCACTGGATAGAAATTATTGAGAAGTAATAAATTTGTTTTATATATGTTTTATATATATATAAATTTATTATTTGTTTTATATAATATACTTAAAACTGCTGAAAAGCAACTAGCTTCATTTACAATTACATTTTTTTAAATCCTTGCGCTGGCAACTGATCGCGGACCATAACGAGTGACTGAACCGTATACAATAATTCGCCACTTTCTTTCCCTTTTGAACTCGTCGGTACGATATCGCTAATAGACTTATCATTTGTTTTGCCTCGGTTACATTTAAATATATTTAATAACGGAGAAAATGTTGCAAAATATTCTCGACGTACTTGGCACGTTATTCCAGCGCAAGAGGTTAACGATTACTGATCCTCACCTTGCAACTTACCAGCTAATTTACCAACTGACACACGTAACTATGCCAAACGGTATATTCTCGAGACGCTAAAAGTCTCGTTCTTTAAAACGACGACCACGTAGGTGACGTGGGATAAAAATCTGAAAACCGTAGCAGAGTCGGTCCCTCGGACGCTCGTGAATTAAAATGTATTCGAGAAAAATTGATTATGTTGCCACTTGTACGAATCTCAAGTTTTCCGTTCTTCCTCCCTCTTTCTCTTTCTTTCTCCCCCCCTCCCACCATCCACCCCTTCTTTGTCTCCTCGTTTTAGCGTGAAAGGAACTTAGGTAGAGGAGTTGAGTAGAACGAGAAAGAGAGAGAATAAATCACCCTCCGTTTGGTTGTCTCCGGCACTTAGCCGGCTTTCGAATCGCGGTCTTCGGTCCTCGCTCCTTTTCAATTTGAGCACCGAATGAAAACAATCTTCCTCTACGAGGTTAGACCTCTCTCTCTCTCTCTCTCTCTCTTTCTCTCTCTCTTTCTCTCTTCTTTTCCCTCGTTCTCTCTGACAATCTTCCCCCTTTCGTTTTTACCCTTTTTACCACGGCACCGTTGGCGAGTCTCTCTGATTTCATCCTGCTCGTTCCGTCGCTCTCGCTCCCATTAGTCCTGTGTACGCTACCGCCGACTCTTTTCCTTCTGTTCTCCACCCTCTCTCGTGTCCACCCTCTCCACCCCCTTCTCCACGTCCCTCTTACCGCTGCAAGTCGACATTTGCCTCCCACCCGGCCCGTTCGAGCCCGCAACCACCACTTTACCACTCGCTACTCGACTAACTCGAATTTGTTGGCAATGTCCCAGTTCTTATACCCCCGGCTCTTTCTCTCCTTTCGCCAACCTCTGCCACGTTCTTCGAATAATTGTATCACGCGGCCCCGCGTGTTACGATATTTAGAGGAATTGACTCGATACGATGAATTGTATGGCCACAATATATTTTTTTTCTTTTTTTTTTTTTTTTTTTTTTTTTTTTTTTAGCGAGTCACAGAGATATATTCATTTTAGTTTGCAAGCTTTTGTAAATTTTCTGTCATTTTCTGTAATTTTCTTATCAACTTTTATTATCTTGAAGTAAATAAGATTAAGCGATTGGCATTGTCATTGATGAAAATTTTGAAACTTGCATCGCTTTTTTTTTTTTTTTGGTTCTACGATTGTTTACTGTGCACTTAGGAGTGGATAATTGGAAATTAGTATGCAGTGAGGATGTGATTTTTCTTTTCAGGAAGAAAAATGTAGTTTCCTTTTCCCTTAACCTCTCATGCACGTCGAGAAATTTTTGTCCCATAAATTGCCATATTCTCTCAGTTTTAATATATTTATTTAAGTATAACCAACACAGGCGAAACGAATAATAAATTTATTACTTCTCAGTCATTTCTATCCAGTGATATCGTAACCGACGAGTTCAAAAAGAAAGCGACCGAATTTATTGTATATACGGTTTGGTCACTCGTTACGGTCCGCAATCAGTTGCCAGCGCAACCAAGTGGTTAAAATAGTTTCTGAGATCCAAATAAGACACACGGAGAAACAGACACGACCCCGTTATATAATATGTACAA